AAAAAAATGTGCTTGTCACTACCCGATCTGTACCGGAAACCCGATCAGTACCCCGCATGCGCAAATCTTACGTCACTTCCTCTCTTTGCCAACATTGCGACATTCAATGGTTAGCATGATATAAACACATTAGCACAGCGAAGCTGTAGATGAACGCTAACTTTTTTCCACTCGACAAAAGTTAACCCGACGGTTACCAATGGCAAGGGACAAATGCAATTGCATGTCAGGAGCCTGTAAACGGATCAAACTTAAGTCTGGAGAACAACTAAGATAACCCATCCACAATACGAGGTTACACATTCATTTACTGCTGAATGGGCTGGGCTGTAGGTAGATCGTAAGGTTTTAAAAACTGAGCTGAAAATGTAAAATGGGTTGGCAGCCGTGGTAAATGGGTTAAGGTAACTGAATTTTTTGTTGGTCGATTTTGAGTTAATTTTTTTTTGCCAACATGCTACCATGATATCACAACAACAGCTGGAACGATTTTAAGGAAAGCTGACCCACCTGGCTCTTCTTGTTTTCACAGGTATTGTCTGTGTTGTCGCCTCCTCCCCCTTCTCTACCTCCTTCTTCTGGTCCTGTGTTTTTCATGTTTCCTGTTCTGTCATTCTCAGTGAGAAATTTGTGCAGAAGAACTAAAACATTTTCTTTCTGACCATTGCCCCACTATTGAAACCCTATCCCCTGCCTCTGCAGTCTCTCAGTGTGCACAAAGAAAACTAGGTGCAGCCAGCACACAGGTAAGGGTGTGGCTACACAGATATATTCCCTCCTAACTATGAAAACAGGAAGAGCCAGTCAGTAGAACAAACTCCACAGCCTTGGAGTCTGAGCTGGGTCTGAGTCTGAGCTGCAATATTTTTTGCAATACTTCCTCATCCCCTTATCACTCAGTGGTATCTGATGGGGTGAAAGGGAATACCTTCAGTAACAGATTTAAAAACCACTGAAGCTTGTGTTCTCTGAATTTTACTGGAGCTCAAAAATACAATGCATTCTGTAGAGAGCTTATGTGTCTGCGCTGTGCTCACTGAAAAAGCCAGATGATTTTTATCCTTCACTGTGTTGTCTTCGTAGTGCTTGTTAAAAATAACACAGCATCCATTTATCTCTTGCGAGCTACCGCCCCAAACATTTTATTAACACCATTCATCCAGTCACGCCACAGACCAGTCTTCTTTTATGTGCTCCCCTGGAGGCATTCATGAGCTTTCTTAAATACAGTGCCCCCTGCTGGTCAACCTTATCATTACATTAACATCTACATATCAACACATTCACCAATGCCTTTTCTGTATTGTGACGAATTTTGAAACCCAAGTTAAACTTCATATTTATAATTGCCCGGCAAATGATTACTTGCTGTAGCTGTTTTACCACTATTTCAAGAATGCTTCAGATAAGAAGGAGATTGGACATTGGTCTATAACTAACCAAGACATCAAATCATTGCATTGCTTATTTACACTTTATACACTCTCTTGAAATTGGGGATGTGTCATGTGCTGATAGGTAAAAAGAGTGTGCATTGTCCCTTTCACATAACTGTAAATGTATAGCAGGACCCATTAGCTAACTAGGTTAGTACTAGGCTACAAATAGAAGTATACAGCAACCCCGTCTCTGTCCAAAAGAAACAAACCCTGCCTTTTAGCAACTGCTACTGACATCCAATGATACACCTGCAGCCAGGCTAGTTATTATTACTAATTAAATGCTTAAAAATTGTTGAAATAGGGTTATTATTTTGTATTTCTAGTAAACATTTATTTATTATTAGGTATGAAAATGTTATACTTAAAGAACAAGAATGCAGACATACCAATACAACTCATATATTTAAAGTGTAACTGAACTGAATAAAAGTATTGTGATGCTCATAATGTAACTCTACAGATTATATCAGAATACTTTTTAAAATTACAGGACTATCTATCTATCTATCTATCTATATAAAATACATGGCATAGGCTAAATACTTTTCTTTTTTTGCTTTTTTTCTGCTTTTATAAGCATTGGTAACAGTTCAGTGAGGCTCATGGTGGCAGACTGCAACAGAAGTTGTCAAAAGAACATGAGTGAAGGTGTTCTCCTTGATTTAAAGTGTCATTTAATCAAGTTGAGCTGCAAGGGGAGGGTACCACGTCTGTGTAGAAGAACAGATAGAATAATAAAAGTGAGAGGGACCAATTTTAGCACAAAAAAAGGAATATAAATATTTTTAAAATAAGATTAGGCTAGCTGAGTTTGTATTGGAATATTGCAGGTTGTTTTGTAATCATACCTCGTGATGCAGGTGGAGGGCGAGGAGGTTTGAATGTGCTTCCTTGTGCTAAAGTATCCACAACCCAGCTGAGGGCACTAGAGCAATAATCCATCTGGAAATAAAAGCAGAATAACATAAAGCTGTATCTGAGAGAATAGCCATTTTTAAACCTCAAGAAAAACCACTTGAAAAAAGCTATTTTTTTCCTATCTCTGACAACTCATCTCATCCTTTCCTTTCAACCTGTTATGTGGCAGGTCTCATCTGTAGGCATTGGAGAAGCTATTGTGGCCTGTTTCCAAGCAGTGACAGTGGCAAAGCCTGGCCCCTGTTTGCCAGTGCAACATAAAAGCCCTCAGTTAAGTTCTTGAATGGCTCTCTTCTCTCAGACACATTTAGAAATTGGTTTTCTTTTCTGCACTAGATGGTATTGCCTACACAATTTCTTTGCACATGCACGCATTTATACCACTGATTGCACTAAGTTGGTTAGTTTAAGTTCTGCATCTGTTTCTTTCATGTGACATTCTCCAAACCATGAAAGTACTTACTAAAGAATTACTTACCTTCACACAAACATCAACCAGGAAACAACTTCACATTATCCAACCTGAAACTGTCTTTTTGCTGTACAGTAGGTATTTTCCCTATGTTTCAACTTCCTCTTAATGTAATTTGCCAACTGCCACCTGCTATGAAGTGCTTTAACCTATATTTAGAATAATTTAACTCTGCAGACATGCCCTTTCACAGCAGCTCCACATATGTATCATGAATGAATCAAAGGGTACAAAATGATAAGTTGGAGCTTCGGTTTTACCTGATTCTCCAGAGACCGTAGCCTGTGTTCGAAGTCTCTGCTTTCACTCAGATGTTTAAGCACACCATCTACCCTATATAAACAAAGATACATTTACTTCAGAATGATGGAGTCACACAGTAATAAATAATGCTGCTACAGTGGAGGATGAAGGTGTGCTCACTTGGCAGACATCCGTTTGAGCCTTTCTGAGTCGCTGCTTTTCTGGATCTTGTTTTGAGCAGTCAGGAAGTCTTCCTTCTGAATCGTTTCCCACGTTGATAATCTGTTAGCTGCCTTTGCTTCCAAGTCTAACACTGATAGAAAAGACCAAGAGTTGAAATGATTACTTTTCAATTCAGTTTTCATGCTTTCATCACTGCTAAACTGAGGTCAGTGAGCAAGTAAACAAAAAGCCTAGTCTTTTAACTTGGCACTGCCATTTTCAGTTAGTAACTGAGTGATAACAGGGCTGGCACTGTTTAACCAAAACCCACAATTACCAAATAAAATTTAGAAGACATTTAAGAAATTACCTAATTCTAATCATGCGTGGATTCCTCACTCAGCATTTGATTTTTTAGAGTTAAGTAACAATAACTCATTAGAGTAACACCCCTGATCCAATACTGACCAAAGTGGTGAATCTTTACAGAGGGCACTTTGCGGATGACCCTCTTGATGAAGAGGTTGATGTGTGAGAGGATAATGAAAGGAGGAGCCAAAGCAGGACGGGAGTGGTACTCAACAATCAGGTTGTAACGCTGGAACTTCCAGTAGATGTCACTGTGTTCCTGCACTTTAGAGAAAGTGTAGCTGTGTGGATACAAGCAGATCAGAGCCACTGAGTCATGTCAAACCATTCAGTTTGTGAATGCAGCCAGAGAAACATAATGACAGACTGGTTCTTTACCTAAACATGGCAATAAGCAGGTTGATGAGCAGGATGTTGGTGACCAGGAGATATACGACTAGCAGAATCACTACCAGCCAGTTACTCTCATGATTTCTACACGGCTCTTCACCGCTCTCAATCAAAGTCACATTGTGTGTACAAGTGATATCCCAGTCCTTGCCCACTGCAATAAATTGGAAAGGTAAGAAATGTAAGAAATGGTTAAAATTATAATAACACTCAATTTCAAATTGCTGTGATGAAAGTAGGTTCCAGGAAACTGCAGCATTTTAAAAGAAATTTCAGCTTTAACACAGATTTTCTTATTTTTATGCCAGTTGCACAAACACATGTACCATCCATCTCTTCCACAGGGATCTGTCCAAAGATGTGCAAGTATGGCCTGTAGAAAACTCTCCGAAAAATGCGATTCGGGTTTGGATCATAGGCGTAGATCAGAGCCTGATTGGCAACTCCATACGCCATGAGCCATACACCCAGGAAGAAGAGGAAGAAGAAGATATCCTTTATCTAAACAAGAGGAAATTGTGATCTTGTTTTAGCCACTATATATGTAAACATAATGAGTGTACTGCAGTTGTAATGCCAATTAATATGGGACGCTGTTTGTAAAGTGAAACATGCAAAAATTAACGGTAACATTTTTTCACATTTAGTTCAAGACCTTACAAAAACATGTTTTTTGAGTAATTGTTTACAACATTTTGTAAAATATTTGTAACTTTAAAACACAATTTTAAATATTAAATCTAAATGTTAAATCTAAATATTATATTTAAATCTAAATGTTAAATCTAAATGTTAAAGGAAACTAAATATTTAGCTAACATGCAAATTCAACGGAAAATATCAAAATAAAAGCTTTACGAAAAACCCTCCGGTGCAAAAGTGTGCTAAACACCATGAGCTGCTTCACTTCTTGCCTACCAGCACGTCCAGCCATTTAGCTGAAAACATTGGAAGATCCGTTTTGTCGGCCATCCAAAGGTTCAGCAGTAGTGCTCTCTCAGCAGCTGCAGTCTCCACTTCACAATCGCTGCAGCACAAGTCCAGCTAAATCGCTGGACATGCTCGTAGCTAAGAAGTGAAGCAGCTCATGGCATTGAGAAGTAATCATCAGGGGAGAGCAGACACAGGCTGTATCCCAATTTAGGGTCTGCAGCCTTAAAGGCCATTTTAAGGCCGATTACATTACAGCGACGTGACGAAGGCTGTCCCAATTCAAAGGCTGCTCGAAATGCGGCCCTCAAATGCGTCCTTCATTTCCCTGAATTTAAGGGATGTGGCGGTGTAGACTTCGTGGCCCAACATATACCAGACTTCATAGCGCGATGGTGGGTGTGCATAATTTTGCCAAAAAAAATGGTGGAAGCGAGGCGGCCGAAGAGTAAACTTTTAAAAGTACTGAACAATATGTCACTTATTTATGTGCAAATGTTGAATAATGAAGAACATTAAAACATTACCGTTGGCCACAGAGTTATGTGACATTAGCGATGTTAGTACTTTCAGTGTTTACCTAAAGCCTTTACTTTAAAATATACACTGTTCAATAGTCAACCTTAATCTTACAGAGAATGTGATGATTTTATGGATAATTAAAGTCAGTCATATATCCACAAATACAACAAGCTGAAAGTCAGTGATGCTGCTCGGTTTGCGGTCCTGAATATCACGGCACAAGCAGGAAGCAGGAAGAGGAGGAGGAAGAGCCAGCAGCAGCTGACACATGGAGAGACTAGACAGACTGTTCCCTGTTTGTGAAGGACCGCTAGAAAAGTTTAAAATAACTAATTGTCTGTCCTGAATCAGTCTTATTAGGTAATGTTCAAATAATTTTATCATTTGTCAGTGTGGGAGAAAGTACTCAGGGCCTTCAGGTTACATAGTATGAAAGGCAGAAACAAGTTTAATATTCAGAAACCTAAAGTATGTATCAGCAGCAGAATGGACCTTGTGGGATTATAATATTATCTTATGCTATGTTATACCCCTAATTAAAGATTGTGAAATTATTATGTAGTTTTAGTTTGCAGTATTCTCCTGAATTAGAAGAAGGTGATAACTATTACATTTGTTAAATTGATTTCTATTACATTAGACTGCTGATTCATGTGTGAATGAATGATATTGTTTATGATGCATTATACTGCTGAGTTATAAGAAATACTGTTTTCAGAGAGTCAGGACCTTGGTTTTTCTGATAGTAGAGGAGACAGAGAGCACATTCCACGGTAGCTTCACCCCCTTCACCACCGTTGTTGAAGGCAGACAAAATAGGGAGCCAAGGCCATAAGTCAGGCTCGCTAGGAGTTAGAAAGAATGTGAATGTTTAGGTTTTTACGACTAGGTGGGGGCCAAAAGAGGCTATAAGAGCTTGAGTAACCCTCCACCAGTTTGAGATTTGCTGTGACCCTCTTCATGGATGTCTCCCCATCCGGATGGTTTGTGCTCTTAAAGTGTTGAATTGTATGGAATAAAGGATTGATGAGCATCTATACACCGAGTACTGTCCTTCCTTCAGCCCAAAGATCGAAAGAATTGGGAGGATTTAACAACCTAAAATAAATGTTTGTTTCAGTTCTATGAAGCTTTGAGTATTTTGGATCAGTAGCACTGCTGTGTTTGTTGCATCATATTGCTGTAATTGTTTATATGCTTTATATATTTTGAGGTAAGTTGATCTATAGTGTTACATCATATTCTATAAGGATGTTATGTGTTTGTATACTTTCTGCCCAGTTTGACCCATTTAGCAGAAGTCAGCCTGTTTGAGGCTCTGATATCTATTCTGTATGACTTAAAGCAGTTATGACATGGTCTGATTTTCTCACCCAATAAAGGAATATTTAATATATCAGTCTACTCTTCATTCTATCAGAAACAGTTATCACAGCTCATACATTTTCTTTTTATACATATATATGAGCATTGAGCCAAATTTAGTAATGCCAACATATTAAACGAAGAATATTTGTCTCTTATATATAATACATCTATATATACACAGTCAAAGATACTTGTCTTTGAGTGAAGATTTAAGGTGGTAGGAAATATAAATAACTGCAACTTGAATCTTTACTGAAGCTCAGTATTTGACACAGAGTTCACTGCTGTAATAACAAATAATGATTAATATAATGACTATAATATTAGCCATATTATAATTATATTAACAAAGTGAGATGACTTTAGTCTCATGATCAACATTAGTTAGTAAATAACAATTAGCTAATCTTGAAATGACTGTTTAGTACAGAAATGAACCCCAACAATCATGTTTTACAGTCCTGTGGTCTCAGCCTCAGATACTTATCAAATCTCACAAAGCTCATGTAGAAATTTATTTATTTTGGTATTCCCATTCATCCTTACAATAAATTTGCATGTTAGCTAAATATTTAGTTTCCTCTAACATTTAGATTTAAATATAATATTTAGATTTAATATTAAACATTTAGATTTAATATTTAAAATTGTGTTTTAAATATGAAAAGTTACAAATATTTTAGGAAATGTTGAAAAAAATTACTCGAAAAACCATGTTTTTGTAAAGTTCTGAGCTAAGTGTGGAAAAATGTTGCTGTTAATTTCAGCATGTTTCACTTTACAAACGGTGCCCCATAAACTGATGGTAACTTTCTCACCATCTTTCCTACAATGATGATTTTTGGCCCCAACTGCTTGTGAATGGCAAAAATGTGAATGAGTCGAAGGGTGAAGACCATGTAGTCCAAACAAAGCATATCCCGGCCAAATTCATGTGACAAGTGGAACATCCTGTAACACAAGCACAGTTAAGCTGAATCAGTAAGGTAGCAGCACCACCTGGTGGCAAACCTGTAAAATTTGTTTTTTTAAAGGAGAAAATATTTTAAATTTAAGTGACAAAAAGTTCTGGGGGAAGATGAAAGGAAATTATTTATGCCACGTTACATCCATAGACACAAACTAAGGACAGCACTTATACAAATGTTACAATTTGCAATGACAAAGCTTCATTCAAGTTGTTTTTTTTTTTTCAATAATCCAGTATTAACATTTATTATTTTTTATTTCTTGTCCATACCTGCAGATTAGTCCTATAATGAACAGGCTGATGGCAGTGAGGTCACATTTATTCCACACATCCTTAATGTAGAGTCTGAACCTTTGACGCCAAGTCATCGTCCCCAAAAAAATTGTCTTGAAGAAGAAGATAAAAGTTAAAACAAGTAGAAAAAAGCTATACCAAACTATAAACAGGTGACATGTATCCAAACACAGAAAACCACTCTCTATGTGCTGTTGTCATTTTAAAGATCAAGTAGAAATCCAACAGGAATAAGATTTGAATTTATGTGATTTCTTTTAATCTTCAGTGCATTTGTTAAGTTATATGAAATCAGTAACAAACATTAAAATCTAATATTTTTTTGTGACACAGGAGCATGTTAACCACAGTATTGCAATAGCACTTTGGCAGTAGTTCAGTTATTATTTTCAATTCTTCCCTTTACATTTTCTATAGCTACCAAAATTGTCTGGATATAAAGTTCTAAGTAAGATGTGTCTCTTCACTCACCTGTCGTATCTCCTCACAAACGAGGGTGAATACCCAGAAGTACAACACACACTCAGCAGCACCTGGACCTGAGGGTGGTGGGGGCTTGAAATCAGCCAACAGCACGTAGGCGAAAAACAAGAGAAACAGGAAGTACATCAGGACGTTGCCCAGAAAAGAGGTGACCGGTGCAAACCAGAACTGACACCAGCGTGACACTATGAATGGACGCTGTGGTGGTCGGTAAGGTACACCTGTATCAAGGATTATAAATACAGATTGGAAAGTGAGTAAAATGACAGCATATAGAGACAAGAATCATTTCTTTAGTCAGGATTTCTTCTTGTAGTGAGTAACAACAGTTATTCAAAGATGACTTTTTAAACAGGACTCACCTTTAATAGTACCACTCCTGTGAACTTCTGAATCAACGTCACTGCTGTAAGAAAAATAAAATTGATTTAATTGTTAGACTTTAGCTAATGGAAATCAATAACATAAAGACAACAAACTGATGTTCTACAGATTAACACTGAAGAGTGCAAGTAGCAATATTACTGGTGTTTGATTTCAGCGAAAGAGAAGACGGTGGTCCCATAGAGACTGTTAGTGTCCTGGTCTGGCCCATCCTCATTAGGAATTCCTTCCTCCTCTTCCAACTGATTATCTTGTTTTCTATGAGGTAAAATAAGAGGTAACGGTTTAAAAAATACCAAATAAAATTCCAAGCCTTTCATCTGAAAAAAAAAGAGAATTTTACCTGAAAGAGATGAGATTGGTGTAGCAGAGGATGGGGCAGAAGAAAGTGAGCAGGAGCTTCCAGACCTCTGTTTTCCTCTTCATATCACCCCACCAGATATGGGAGAGCAGAGACTGGAAGAAGACAGAAAAGCAGTCCTTATCCATCAACAGCAGCTCACTGGCTAAACATGAAGTTAGGATGTGTTATTTTTTGAAGCATCATGCCATTTTTACTTTGTACTGAATTCATTTATAATTCAAATGATTGTACTGTTGTGTATTACATGGTCTCATTCAATGATAGTGTATATTTATAGATTTGATTGTATACAATCAAATCTATGGTCATTGTATACAATGACCTAAATAAGTAAGCATTAATAAACAGAAAATGTTCAATATTTTTTCATGCAAATATGACAGCTTTTTTTGATAGCGTTTTTATGTTTATTAACATCTGTTATTTATATGTTTAAAATAAAGATTTGATACAACTTCAGATTGAATGCCCATGTACTATTGGAAATTACATTAACGGGGCTGGGATGAGAGAGGAAAATCCTGTAGATGACGTCAGTCTTGGCGGCAAAAAAACCAGCATATTAGGTTAAAAACGTTACAGAGGACCAGGGATAGAGGAGGACTGCTGTGATTGGGGCCATTCCCCAACTCTCTGTGGGTGAACTCTGTACTCATGGCCATTAATCAGGGGTCTTTTGATCAGTGGTTGTTGGTAAACGGTCATGACAATTTGCATATCAATGATCATGAAAGTGATGATGACCTGATGATACACTGTCAGTCAGTGGTGCCAGTTTCGTTAGAAGTCAATTAGATGAGTGACAAAATATTTCTCCCACTGAAAACGCTACAACTAAATGAATAGAATCAACTTTTGGGATTTCCTTACCTGGATGATTCAAAATGCGTTAAGACACTTATGAACACAAGCGCGTTCATACACACAGGTGTGATCACAGGTGCTCACGGACACACACTATCTTGGGCTGCTGCCTCTAAATATATTTTATATCATTAGTACTGTAAGCTGCTCTGTAACTTTGTCATTTTTATTCATGCACATTTTGGTTGTTGCTACATGGTTTTCTGCTGTTTTTTATATATTCCATCCCTCTGTATCCCTCTTCTTCTCATCTATTTTTCTCTCCCTCTCTTTCTGTTAACCCTCTTGCAATCTTCACTTTCTTTCTCTTTTCTTTCTGGTCACCCATAGCAAATGCCAACATGTTTGACTTGTGAAAATTGTTTGCCATTTTTTGGCCTTCAGACAACAGTTCTGATCGCTAAACTGCCGTACAGGGCAGGGGGAGAAAAATCACACGAATGAAAGAGGTTAAAAACCGAACACACCTGTACGCCATCGTTACTGAAGAAAAGCCGAGCGTCAGCACTCACGCCCATCTGAAGACAGGTGCTGTGACCCCAGACAGGAGACTTCCTAATTAGCAGGGTGAAGGAACGGTGTTCATTACTCCGATAGCAAGAGCTGAAGATATCTGAGGTAAAGTGGACAAAAGACATGACATTCAAGTTTATTTCTATAGTGTCAGTTTACAAGTCACCTAAAGGTGCTTTGTGTTGTATGGTAAACTTCAGTTTGCAACTCCCTGTGAGCAAGCACTCTGAGATCTTTGACAAGGCCTATTTTTTCAAGCTCAAGCATGTGAGGAGAGGGATTTAACTCAGGATTTAACAGGCAGCCAATGAAGAACCTAATATGAGAGGCATGGCCTCTCTTTCTCTAGTCCCTGGTTAGTACTCATCTGAAAGGTTTTTAGGACAACTTAATAATAATGAATTACAATAGCCCAACATAGAGGTAATAAATGCATGAACTAGTTTTTCAGTATCTGTTTTTCAGAAAAGCTTTTTCTAATTTTAGAGATACTGTGCAAATGCAAGAAATTAGTCCAGCATATTTGTCTAATGTGCTGGTAAAAAAGACTGTCACGTGTCACTGGAGGCCCTGGCAATCAGATTCAGACTAAGGAGTTGGTTAGACACCTAGATTTTTAGGGCCATGAACAATAACCTCTCTTTTGTCTGAATTTAGTTGCAGGAAATTAGGCATCATCCAAGTCTTTTTGTTTCTAAGCCATTCCTGAAACTAATTACTGTGTCAACTAGCTTCATGGATTGATAAAGCTGGGTATCATCTGGATATCAGTGAAAATCAGTCAGAAACATTTGAATTCTCAAGAACAAGACATAGATGATTGCAAACGAGACATGAAAAAAAAATTCTGCTCATTTTCTCCTGATCTAGTTAAGAAATGTGTCATTGGCAAAGGCCAGGAGAACTAACCTGCATACTAATTAGCTGCTTTTCAGGCAGCTGTGCAATACAGGCTGAGTCGCCAGTAGAAAAGCCAAAGCTGAGCATGTTTTTGTGGAGGCTTGAAATGATCTCCAAACCCCTTTCATTTTTTGAGACAATAAAATCCTTGTCTGGTAATACTACTGACATAGAGCTTCCCCCATTTACTGTCTCTTCCCACTCCCAGTAGGGCTGGGCCTCAACCAATTGTTCTTAAAACTGAAGAAGCTTCTTGTACGAGAGGTGAAACGCTTTTGAGAAACTTTAAAAAGTCCAGATGCTTTTCTTTCCAAGCTCCTAGGCAAAGCATGTGTGGTCGGTGGCCGCGGTCCCGAGACAACTGGGGCTCTGCACCAGCAGATGGATAGAACAGCTTATCTTTAAACAAAGCATTGCTTTGCAGATGAGTGTTTTACAATTATCCTTTCAATAATTTTTGAGATAATAGGAAGGTTGGTGTTGTCCAACAATTAGCTGGGTCAAGTAATGACTATTAGAACAATCATTTAATTACTGTCACCTTAAAGGCCTGTGGTACATAGACAATTCATAGAAAACATCAAAGAATGAATTAATGCAGATGCTGCTCTTTGGACAATCCCACTCTCAGGAATCCTGCCCATGTTGGTCACTTTAAACCACTTCAAGGTCACTTTGAATCACTCAACTGTAAATTGTAAACTTAGACTGTTATTGATCCTTTTTACCCTAATTTTAAAGTGTATATTTATTTTATATATTTATTTCTTATTCTTCTTGTATTTATTCTTTGTTTGTTTTTTGCACTGAATGGAACTGCACTACATATAGCAGAGATGACAATAAAGTTTACTTTGACTTTGACTAATGGTTGAACTTCTTTCAACACTCTTGTAAGAATGGGGTCTAATGAATACATAATAAAGGAATAACTGAGGATAAAACATCTACATAAATATTTGTAGTATTCAACACAGATATTGATGTCTGTGAGATGTTTATGAACCTTTATATTTTTTCTCTAATGCTTAAAATGAGAGAATTTTAATTTTTACATATTCCTTTAAAGCTTAAGGAATACTTTGCTAACAGAGCTGTGACTCTTTGTCAGTCTGGCTACAGTGCTGAAAAGAAATAAGGAGTTCAGTATTTTCTTCAATAACTCATGAATAGTAAGAGCTTTATGGAGGGATTTTACAGAGCATCAAACTAAACAAAGTGCTTAAAAAGTTTTGAGATGCCATTTCCTAGGAATGTAAAACCATTGACAAGATAATTAACCTCTGTGGGAGTCACTCTGGGTTAAAGAAGACAACGGTGGAGGAATTTTATCCTTAATCTTAATTACAGCTCATTCTGGAAGACTGCAATTAAATTATTAGTTACTGCTGTGTAAAGAGTTAGATAGGTTTTGCTACAATTGTGTTACAACAGATGTTAAAAGAAAAATTCAAAGGACATGTAATAAAACTATTACAAAACTAGATAATAAATAATCACACCATGAGCCAGGTTCTCAAACTTCTGGGCCAGTTCTTTCATGGAGAGTTTGGTTTCAGTTTCTTCGTCAAGTTTGGACAGTTCTCTGAGTATTTTACAGCCACCAAGAGCACTCAGGACTGCCTCACCTGCCTGGAAAGGAAAGCAGCAAATTATGTACTTTCTGAAAGAAACAGGTGCAAAAAGTTAATTCATTGTATCTAATATTGTCTGTTTCATTATCTCAGTTCTTTCTTTTGAAGTAGTCTGAGTGGTAATGCAGACACATACAGCCATTAACATATTTACTTGCTGCACGAAGTCTAAGCTGGTGATACTTGCAATTCACTTAAAGGTACTATATAAAAGTATTTTATATTTTTAGTTCAGTAGCTGCTTTTTATTTACTGCAAGCTGGATAGAAACTTTAAGTAGAAGCCCACTTAAATCCTACTTAAAGCTTGGCTTGCTGTAATTAAATGTAAATGCTTAAATGTAGCACGTTAAAATGCACAATCACAATTGAATTTGATTGTTATATAGTAATAATTTACTTATAGATTAAGATTTAAAATTATGATATACATTTAACATAATCAACGCTTACATCATAAAATAATCATTAAAAATATATTGTAATTAACTGACTCCAACAACTTTCACATGTTACCATGAGCACCTAGCTGTGTCACTTCATTTCACCTGAAAATTGATGTTTTTATTCAAATAAATATCTGTTCATCCATTCATACACCGAGGACTCTGTAGTATATAAATCAGTATAAGAGGATTTTTTAAATTTAATTTAATTTAATTTAATTTTTTTCTTCTGGAAAAGCACCACTCCTTAACTAATAACAATGCAGAAACAAGCTGTAGTTTGATTATTGGGGATTTCAAACCAGCTGAACACAAGTAAAATCCTTTTTGCAGTTTGTCTCAGAACTTTTACCATCTCCCAGAAATAAAGGGCCATCTCACTGCGGTTTTGCAGTACAGCCCAGAGGAAGAGTGAAGCCCAGGGATGAGGGCAGGGCAGGTCCTGATACATGCAACGTCCACGCAGAACCTTACTGGCACGCTTTGATGAATGAAGAAAAGAATTCTCATTATCACGTCAATAATTTAAAAAAAAGAAAAAAGAAATCCTATAACCACAAGTACACTCTGTGTGCATGTTCTGAAAAGTTCAGAGTACCTTCAGAGACATCCTTTTGGATGAAGTGAACTGAAAGCCCAAAGCTCTGTAGTAGAAAGGCTGGCAGACATCACCCATTAACAGCTCCAGGACCTCTGACACCTGAGGAAACACGTGGGTGGGACAATAAGCACAACAGTGTCAGGTTTTCTTCACATTTATAATGAATCAATTTAAGCCTAATTAATGAAAAAGGACAGAATATCTTTGATTACAAAATTCACCTCAAAAAGGGTGACCTCCTTCACTGGTCTGCTCTGATTGTTATCTGTCACCACTTTTGAGGATGAATTCTGTTGTTCTGATGGTGAGTGACGCTCCACTATTGCCAGCCGCTCTGCTAGGCAGCGCTGTAGCAGCTGATATAGTAAGCTCCCATCTGGCACAGAGCGATAGAGGGTTTCCAGCCTGCCATAAGTTAGGTACTCCAGGATATTCAAACCATTCTCAATGAAAAGCCGAACAAACTGGGGCTTGTTGTTGATCAGCGCATCTGTCATTGAGTCCTCCAAATCTTCGTACTGTTTAATTGGAGGAAGGAGATCATGTTTTAAGACAGGTCAATATTTTTTATGCCAAATATTTCTCTAAAAATCAGAATTAAACAGTTTTTCAGTCAAAGGTGTTTAAATAGGCTGTATAATGTAATGTTATGTATGAATTCTTCTTTCAGTGCAACATCTGGTTGGTGTCTTTTTCCCTCCTCACCTTCCACTGGATGTCTCCATTGAAGAGTTCAGTCTTGGCAATGTCAACCCTGTTCCACGTTACTGCTAGTTTCAGCTCATCAGTATAAGGATTGTCCTCAGCTGATGATTGTTGCTTACTTGCTAAAAAAGACAAACATAACATAAAAATTAAAATATGGATTAAAAGTTAATGTTATGACTCTTTTGCAAAATTACAGGCTACTTACATACCTCCCACAAGTGTTTTAAGCAGGACTGTGTCAAAGTCATTTGGACTCTCGTGCTCTCCGTGGTAGACTGTAATAAAATGTCTGTTCTGGTAAATGCTCAAAGCCTGGAGACAGAAGATGGGAAGGGAACAGGAATGACAGAGACATGATTACAAAATGTTTTAGAAAAAGATTAAAGAAAAGACTTGTTCTTTTTTTTTTTTAATTAAACTGCAAGAAACAGGTCAAACACAGTTTACTATGGACATGTGATAGTTAAAGCAAAAGATTCTGGAGTTAATCTTCCCAAATTCAACTTTTTATTAAATAAAAAACTGTTAAGTACAGTTTATGACCCGACCAGATACACTTCGGCTTTGTTCAGTTCCCACCTTATTACATCTAGACCTGGACTGGACTTCTTTAACTTGCTTGAAGACCTTTCACCTCTCATCCAAGAAGCTTCTTGAGTTCTAGGGTCAAATGGTGGAGAGTCCCAGATTTAAACTCTGTGGGACTGCCCCTTCCAAGACGCCTTAATGCTCACTTACATCCTGGGCCATCCTACCTCAGAAAATCACATGATAGGGTGGGGCTAGGTTTCACAATGAGCTCACCAGAAACCCTGGCTGATTGTGACTAGAGATGGCACGATACCACTTTTTTATGTCCGATACGATATCATAAATTTGGATATCTGCCGATACCGATATGAATTTGATATAGTGTGTTTTTTAATCAATAAAACTGTTTTTTAATATATTGCTGTATTTTGTATAAGTTCATACTCAAGTTTAAATAAACAACAACACTAAAGCTATTCTGTTATACCTGTATGTAAAAAAATACACTGCACCCAAAATATTTCATAGTTCAGCAATACTGATCAATCTAATTAACTTAAACCTACTCAATCCTTCCTATTCTGGTATTTTAAAGAGTACTTAGCAGAAATATTAAGCAACCTAACTAATAGGGTTGCAAACTCCCAGCAAAAAAAAATAGGGAACCACCCCCCACCCTCCACCTCATGATGCTTAATCGACGTAATCAACTTTAATTTGATGCAGTGTGGAAAAAAAATTGAAAATTATTTTTTCAAGAATAATTAAATAGATTCAGCATCTTTCTTCAACAGAATTGCAGACTGCACAGATGGTACCTTCCCAAAGGAAAAAGTACTACAGCTTACTAGGGTATATTAGACTTAACATTTACTATATACAGTAATGGACTTCTATATATTTTACATAAGATTAAAACTTTGGGTGTAAGATTCAGATAATTATTGATTAAAAGCTAGACATTTTAAATGAGAATGAGAAAGAAAAGTATGTCTTTGTGCCCCCTTTTCCCTGTTAATGCCCTATCGGCCCCCCTGGCTAAACTTTGCTAGATCCGCCCCTGCACAGTTACCAGCCGTCAGCTGCGTAGAAAATATTACTTTCTACTCCTGGAGTAGAAAGTAATATTAAATAAATTCTAACAACAGCTTATCAAGCTTAAACGTGCTGCTGTTGTTTATCTACTGGTTTCCTCTTTCTGGTGCAAAGTGGGCCAAAAATAAACAAGAGAGACGGACTTGTGAAAGAAAAGCCGATCAGCTGATCATTAAGCAGTTTCACGATTGAAGTAGCAGCAAGAAGAGGCAGTCGCTCCATATATCGGTTGTTAAGCTTAACGTGTGAATGCTTTACAAACATTCAGAGATGAACTTACACACTTGCTTTACTTCTCTCTGGGATAACTTCCTCGGAGATGAAATGCCAGTTTGGTAGTGAGGCTACAAATACACACAAATACATATCACGTGAGCACACTGCTCCGAGGTGCTACGGTTATGAGCCGAGTTACACCTTGTTGCAAGTTTTGTGAGGTGCTTTTTTGATATTTAATGGATCGGATTACATTTTTTATTTCTCTCCGATATCCGATCAGTATCGGACCGATACCGACACGTAATATCGGATCGGTCCATCTCTAATTGTGACCCACACCCGTATTCACACCTCGGCTCATGTGATTAGGTAGAGGATCATTAGGGGGTCCTTTGTCCTTCTTTGGGGGGAAACTACCACTGGGTTTAAATCTGGGACTCTCCACCATTTGACCCTAGAACTGAAGAAGCTTCTCGAACGAGAGGTGAAAGGTCTTCAAGCAACTCAAAGAAGTCCAGACGCTTTTCTTTCCAAGCTCCTTAAACTACGATGACCTGGACGACTGAGAACCTTCACAGACGGATCTGTTTATAGTGGCTTATTGTGTCCCTACATGATCTGTATACCTATTCCTTATTTAAAATGTTTCATTCTGATACATTTATAATGTGTTTCCGTTTTATTATAAAACTTCATTAAAGACTTGGAAAGCTGCCCTGCATTTTTCTTTTCTTTGGTCTTTTTTTAGTTAAATGTGAAAGGTAAATGTCATGAAGTCATAATCTATCAGTGAAGGCTAACATAAGATCAGAATATAAATGCTTATATTTGCAACATTAACGAGGAGGGGAGGAGGCCCCGGGGCAGATCCAGGACACGCTGGAGAGATTATATCTATCGGCTGGCCTGGGAACGCCTTGGTGTTCCCCGGATAAGCTGGAGGAGGTGGCTGGGGAGAGGGAGGTCTGGGCTTCTCTACTTGGGCTGCTGCCCCCGCGACCCAGCCCCAGATGAATGGATGGATGGTCTTGAATAACCGAATTCTTTATCACTATTATTATTGCCTTTGTTGTTTCTGTTGCCGTTGCTGTTGTTGTGGTTAGTATTATTATTGCCTGATCATAAACTGTAGCAAACAGTTTTTTGTTTACTAAGAAACAAACTTGAGGGCAGATCTACTCCACAGTATGTTGTTGACTGAATAACAAATGCTAAAATCAGCAATTCTTGAACACACATCCTGGAACAGGGTGCCAACACCTGATAAGTAAAGAACGGTCCACACAGAACCGCTCATCTTAGTTAAGGCGAATATTAGCAGTATTTCACATTTTTCTCTCAGAGTGTAAAGAAATGGGTAGAAGCACAAATATTATAATATTAACCATAATATATAAATATTAATATAATAATATTAACATAAATATTAATATTATTTAGAAAGCTAATTGAAAATAATCAATGTCAGGTTCAATGGTCAAACCTGTCCAGTTTCCTGAAAATTTACAGGGGTACACTGCACACCGTGCAAAGAAGACAAAGCAGACATTCACTATTGTACCTCTCTCCTGACCTCCACCATACATCTTTTAATTCAATTGATACGTCAATCAATCAATCAATTTTCATATTAGGACACATCATGCCATCAGACCTGTTGTCATTAATTTTCAGTCCAGTTTTTATATTATTTAGTATACTTCAGCCTTTTCTTGACCATCTTTCTACTAATACCATTTATTCTGAGGCTCCCATAAAAAGCAGATGAATCAACCAAACTTTTATTTTTATTTCTTTATTTCGTGACTATCAGATCCTCCCGATCTTCTATGGATAGATTTTAGGCATCTCACTTTTTTGTCCTCCACTTTTCCAGTTTCCCTAGATATTTTAAAAGCACACTGCATGCCATGCAAAATTGATCCAAGTTTTCAGCTAATTTTCAGCTGAGCACTGCTATATAATTTTTGTAATTGAATACCCTGTTTAATGTTTCAAAAAATAATCACATTTTCATTCACACTCAACACTAATACAATAATCTATTGTAAAACTACTTTTTGGGGGCATTAGGTTTTGATTTTGATCCAGTGCTATTGAACAATTGCATTGTACATATATGCTACATGTATATGGTGTTATTTTTGTGCCACTATTCTGAGCGCACGTAAAAAAAATTTGCAGTTGCAAGTGTTGCATTTTGAGGAGAATTTTATTTTGAGCGAAGAAAAGCTAAATTTGAGTGAACAAACTTCATTGCTGCGTGCAAAAAATTTATTTCAGTGTTTGCTATTATCCATGCACACACGTAATAGCAGCCCCTCTCGCTCAGTTTTTGCATTTGCGCTGGCTCGCAATGTGTTGCTCGGGCTCTCAACATTTCTGCCTGTGCGTGCTCAACTCTTTCTCTACACCGTTATATTTGTGCCACAAAACCAGCCAATCGCAGACTTGGATGCAAAAAAATCTGATTGGCTGTTCTGGTCTCCAGTCAGCTCGAAGTGACGAAATGCAATATCCCAGAATCCATTTGTCCAAATCTCAAACGAGGCAGTGACGGAGGAACACAGAGTGGTGGAGTTTGAAATATTACTCTTTCTGGGTCACAAAATAAACTTTTAAGATATTTTCATGTGAGAATGTTGCTGTGTAAACTTCAAATATCTGCTCGATTTATCAAGACATCACATATTTGCATAAGTGCTCTAAACGTTTTCAGAGATGCCTGTTACCCACCAGCTGACCGGGTGGTCACTTGGGTTAAACATAATATATAAAGCTGAACTGACAAAAGATCACCGACTACATCACCGGGTATTATAAGAAAAACCATAAAGCCTTTGAACTAAAACAAACGCTGTTGTGACAGTGATGTACACTGTCTTGTTGGTATATGTATGATTTGTATCACCTTCATGTTTCCCTCTCACCACATATCCAAACTGACATCAGGAGCAGCAGCTTTTACAGCTGTGGCTCCAGCAAACATCAGCTGATACTAGAAAGTAATATTAAATAAATTCTAACAACAGCTGATCAAGCTTGAACGTGCTGCTGTTGTTTAACGCAACATCCGCTGGTTTCCTCTTTCTGGCGCAAAGTGGGCGATAAACAAACAAGAGAGACGATCAGCTGATCACTGATTAGTTTCATGATTGAAGTAGCAACAGGAGAGGGAGAGAGAATGAGAGAAGAGGCAGCTGTGCAGCAAAGACAGAATAACTCCAGCTTTGTGTTTACTTTTAATTCTAGCTGAAGTCCGGGACGAATCACGTTCCTTTTCCCCTCAATACAGATGTATTGTAATTGGTCCAGCCCAGAGTTGATCATGACCAATTGGCTAATCCACCATCTTTCATTGTTTATACCGTTACAAAAACAAACAAACAAACAAACATAAAAATGAAAAATCACCATCGGCCCACCGGGCAAATGGTATGCCCAATGGCCAGTCCAGGTATGCGGTCAGCTGGTGGGTAACAGGCATCTCCGAAAACGTTTAGAGCACTTATGCAAATATGTGATGTCTTGATGAATCGAGCAGGTATTTGAAGTTTACACAGCAACATTCTCACATGAAAATATCTTAAAAGTTTATTTTGTGACCCAGACAGAGTAATATTTCAAACTCCGCCACTCTGTGTTCCTCTGCCACTGCCTCGTTTGAGTTTTGGACGAAATGGATTCTGGGATATTGCATTTCGTCACTTCGAGCTGATTGGAGACCAGAACAGCCAATCAGATTTTTTTGCATCCAAGTCTGTGATTGGCTGGTTTTGTGGCACAAACGGTGTATAGAAAGAGTTGAGTTGCAAGCGAGCACAAAAGCAAAAACTGAGCGAGTGGGGCTGCTATTGTGTGTGTGTGTGTATGGATAATAGCAAACACTGAAATACATTTTTTCCACGCAGCAATGAAGTTCGTTCACTCAAATTTAGCTTTTCTACGCTCAAAATAAATTTCTCCTCAAAATGCAACACTTGCACCTGCAATTTTTTTACGTGTGCTCCGAATAGTGGCACAAAAATAACGCCATACCATGTATGCTTTGGTTCTATAAAAACACTCATAATCACAGCTTGTGAGTGAGTTAGCTTTTTCTTTTCACTATGCTGAACCAAATAACAGCCTGAAGTTTCAAGAAAGTCTTTCCCCCAACTCTTCTGCAGACGAAGAGCCAATGCAATGTTTCTGTTGTCAGCACTCACCTGTTCAACTAGTTTGTCAGTCTCTGTTTCTGAAGGAAAATGCTTCTTAAACCGTTCTGCCACTCTGTCTTTGAGATCCACCTTGGGAGCTTTAAGAGCCTCATTGTTGCCTTCACCAGAGGACGGCACAGTTGGAGCTGAAGACAGGTTCTCCAAGACATCACTCAGGAAATCAGCCAAGCCTCCTGAGCCAGCCACAACCAGCCAGGGGATAAAGTTTTTCAGAGAGAGATCCATTCTCTGACAGACATCACAAAAACAATCAAAAAGAAACATTTCCACAATTTAAATGCTAATTCACAAGATTTTTGTGATAATCAAAACATAAAGCAGAGACTGTACCTTCAGCGTGTCTGCTTCCCCTGATATCAGCATACAAAGGACAGGGATGTCAATGCTGCCACTTCCTTTAAAGAGATACAAATTTCACTTAACTTCAGCTCAATAAAAGTCTTATAAATCTTAATAAAATATTGTACTCATAGTATGGTACCATCTCTCACCCCATATGCCTGTGCGCTGCTGGGAAATGTATTCCTCCAATCTGGCTCTGAAATCTGTTTCTCCTCCTCTGCGGCCCACACTACCATCATCCACCAGCAGGAAGGCCTGGTAGTTGTTGTCCAGGTAGCAGGAGTCCCGGGAAATGTTGTGGACATAGTACTTTGCAGGAAAGCTTCCCTACAAAAGAAGAAAAAACTGTTATTACAGTGTTTCTTTGATTAAGATAATTGTCTACAGTGTAATGGAAGCCTGAAACCTTTGGATCTTTTTTGTGTGTTTTAATAGGAGATACAAATACAGCTTGGTCTCAAGATTACCAGTATAGTATAGATTTGCCTTACTTTGAGCACTCAATGATAAAATTCACATAATCTTACTAACCCAAAATGTTGATTCTGTTCATCTGGACGTAGTATTTTCAGCGGGAGAAACACTTCGTTGCAAATCCAGCTGACTTCTTCAGTCTCAGCTGACTGCAGGTTTTCCCAACATCATAAACAGTACATTTGCATAATGGCTGATACCAACACAACTGAATAAACATTGGGTCAGTTTCTTGATCATTAATATGCATATTGTCATTAGCACTGATCAATGACCATTATTCAATGGCCATGAGTGCCATCTAGAGAGAGTTGGGGAATGGCTGTAATCACAGCATTGGCCTGCAGGTTTAAATACACTGCAGAGTCTTGGCCTGGCGAGGTAGCTCTTCTGTGTTGTGCCATTCACTTTAACCAGAGGCTGTTTGGTTTCCCTGATGTATAAATCATGGCAATCCTGCTGACACTTAACAGCATCCACTTTATTACTCTGTTTGGCGACAGCGGCGACACACGGCGCATGTGGCAGGGCTTACAAGCCATCACTAACTACAGGACGACATCACCTGCCTGTGACAGTGACGGCTCCCTCTCAGATGCGCTGAACAACTTCTACGCTCGGTTCGACAGGCAGAACGACGTGGCAGCGAGGAAGACCACCCCTCCTCCGAACGACCAGGTCCTGTGTCTCACTACAGCTGAGGTGAGGAAAACTCTACGCAGAGTCAATCCACGTAAAGCTGCTGGACCAGACAACATCCCAGGCAGAGTGCTCAGAGAATGTGCTGATCAGCTGGCAGATGTTCTCACCGACATCTTCAACATCTCTCTGAGCAGTGCCGTCATTCCCACGTGCCACGTGTAGCAACACACAGTTCAAATCACATCATTAAGTTCGCTGATGACACGACCGTGGTGGGTCTCATTAGCAAGACGACGAGTCAGCGTACAGAGAGGAAGTGCAGAGACTAACGGACTGGTGTAAAGACAACAACCTGTCTCTGAATGTTGACAAGACAAAAGAGATGGTTGTTGACTTTAGGAGGACACGATGCGACCACTCACCGCTGAGCATCAACGGCTCCTCTGTGGAGATCGTCGACAGCACCAAATTCCTGGGCGTCCACCTGGAGAAGGACCTCGGCTGGTCCCTCAACACCAGCTCCCTGCACAAGAAAGCCCAACAGCGTCTCTTCTTTCTGAGAAGACTGAGAAAGGCCCAGCTTCCACCACCGATCCTGACCACCTTCTATAGAGGAACTATCGAGAGCATCCTGAACGGCTGCATCACTGTCTGGTTTGGGAACTGTGCCATATCGGACCGCAAGACCCTACAGCGGATAGTGGGAACAGCAGAGAAGATCATCGGGGTCTCTCTCCCCTCTATTGAGGACATCTACACCACACGATGCATTCGCAAAGCCACCAGCATTGTGGCTAATTGGACACACCCCTCTCACACACTCTTCACACTCCTGCCATCTGGAAAAAGGTACCGAAGCATTCGGGCACACACATCCAGACTGTGCAACAGCTTTTTTCCACAAGCCATCCGTCTCCTCAGCAAAAAGGGACTGACTGATAAACACGCACACACACACACATACACACACAAACATTATCACTCAGCTTAACTCAACTACCTCAAAACATTGAGACTGGACTGACTAATCAACACAAGCGCAAACACACTGACCTACACCACCAAACCATCGTACACACCAACCTGTAAATGCTCTTTTGCACAATATTATTACTGGACTTTCTGCACTAACTTCTGCACTTCCTAATTTTTGCTGCTACACTAAGGAATGTTTACTGTTCCTCCACTACCTCAACTCATCATCACAAAACCGTATTATTATGTTACGTTGTGTTTTTTTTTTTGTCACACTGTCACTTGCTGCTCTTGTTTGCACATTTGCACGTGCACTTTGTTGTCTGCTGTCTGATAACAAAAAAAAAGTCTTCCTTAGATAGTTAGATAGTTTTTTGTTAATTTATGTTGTAATTTATGTTAGGTCAGTCTGTCTTGTCTCTGCTAGCCAGCTAACTAGGCCTCTTAGTTAGCTAGTTTAGAGTTTTCTGTTAATTTATGTTGTAAATTTATGTTGCATGTAGCACCTTGGTTCCTGGAGGAACGTTGTTTCGCCTCACTGTGTACTGTTAAACTGTATATGGTTGAAGTGACAATAAAGCCAACTTGACTTGACTTGACTTGTGTCAGGACCCAACTCTTGGGGTGGATCAGTTTTTGGCGCATCATTTTTTGGGGTATTAAAGCTGCAGAGACACAGTGTTGGGAGAAAATGCGTTTCAACTCTTCCGATACTCCTGACACATACAGAATCACTAAGGGGTTTTGCTTAGGCGGCAGTTGTCCTTCTTCTCACCTGGATTGGCTGGAGCTTTCTTTAGGTCCCTTCCTAGTTTTGGGTAGGCTGACAGGGAATCACAAGAAAATCATATCAAGAAGGCCCTGAGTAAATGTGTTTATCCCAGCTGGACATTTGTCAAAGCTGGAAAGGCACCTAAAGAAAGTTCCAGCTGGTCCAACAGAGAAGAATGACAACTGCTGTCTAAGTGAAAACCCTTAGTGTGACAATTGAAATGCATTTTCTCTAAACACCGCATCTCCATGGCTTTTATACACGAAACACACTGCCAAAAATTGGTCCACCTCAACGATCGGGTCCCCCAACACAAACAGAGTAATATAGTGTACTGGAATTGTAGTTATGGGCATTGATCAATGGTTGTATTCAAGGAACTGACCTTGTAGACTATTGCTTTTCAGTGGTGCTAGTTTCAGTCATTATGCACGTGTACTGTTTATAAGGTTGGGAAAACCTGCACTCATCTAAGACTGAAGAAGGCAGTTGGATGAGTGACGTAATGTTTCTCCCGCTGAAAGCCTTACTTCCAGATGAACAGAATCAACTTTTTGGGATTTACTTGCCTGGATAACTGAGCATGCCTCAAGACAATGTCTTACTTATCTTAAATTTGGGACGTATATTTATACTAATTATAAGCAATTTAAAAATCTATTAAAATGAGAAATGTAAATCAAATCTTTAAGTGAGCCTTTTGCAAAATAAAGGTGAACACATGTTTAAACGTGTAAATGTCTGTACTACCTGAGGGTTGACCAGCTGCTCTCGTTTTTTCACAAGGCCCCACGGAGCAATGCCCAACGCTACCACCTTGTTGAGGGAGACTGAAGATGCTGCAGCTGCATGATCTCTCACTGCCTGTCCGACACACCTGCCAACACCTTCACGCAGACCTGTAGTTAAGATCCATGCACCTGGGGGAAACAGGTAGATGGTAAATTTCCTGGTTCAACCTGTATACTAAGTAGCTTACTGTGCCATGCCACTAAATAATTCCGAAATGTTAAAAAGCTGTGTAAACTAACACCTGAATAATAATTAACAATAATTTGCAAATCTCATATCTCTATATGTGATACCATTAGCTAATATGTTGTCCATAACTGGGGTTATTTACATTTTGCACAACTTCATACCTATTATTTATTATTTATTTATTACTATCTGTTACATTTCTTTGAATAGGCTTAAAAATCAAACAAAAAATAATGTATTAAGCTGTGAAACTGTATCATATTATTTTTTATCATTTTCACTAAAAGACTGTCAGGGTCATGAGTCTGGTGACCCAGTGTTTACGTATTGTCCATTTAATTTTTTAATTTAATTCTTAGGTTTTGGTCCTTTGCCTTCCTTTGCCTTTAGTTTAACTTGTCTCCACATGTCATGTCACTCTTGTGGCCATGTTCCCAATGTCTCCCCAGTCACTGTGTTAAGTTTGGCTGGAGTCTGAGTTTCGGTCTGTGTGTTTATCTGTCAAAGAATTAAGAGCACTAGAAATACTAGAAAAACCAAAAAGATGCATAAAAAATGTTTTTATATGCAGCGTGTTTTAATGGCGAGTGTAAGTACAAAAGCAACATGTTTGCTTTCTCACTGCTACGCCCTGTCCTGGATCTTATCCAATAATCATGTTTACTTAGTGTGAGCCATGTAGCAACTTGCATATTTGTGTGAACAATTTTTTCATTGTTTCTTGTACTTGTTTTGAAAGAAGAGCAAGTGACAGGAGATCAGTATCACCATGTGCTACCTGCACTTGGTACAGTAGTCAAAGAGAAAATTGCCATTTCAGTACAAACATTAGGACCAGACAGTATGCTTTTTTTTAGAGCTTATAGTATAATCCATTAAGTAAACAATACTACTTCCATCCTGATGTCTTGAGTGGGAAACTGCTTTATTTACGATCACAGCATCTCCAGAGTCCTTAACAGCGATACCTGACATCCCAGGTGTGCTACAGGATGTATAATATCTTCTACAAAGATGACTGCAAGATGGGGTTTGGCCATCATTGATATGTGATTGCATTAAGATGACTTACATATCTCGATGCATGCTCAGTTATCCAGGTAAGGAAATGTTTCAGCTATATTTTCATAGATGAAAAACGTATGTCCAGGTGAACAGAATCTGCTTTTTTTCCTTTTACAGCTTTATAAATCTAGAAACTAAACAAAGTTAAGGCAAGGCATTCTTTTATACATTTTTTATATGGTAAAGGGAACCATCTGGAAATGACGATAGCATCTGCTAACCAACAATCAAATATTTCAGCAAACATCTCGCAGAAATTCCAAGCACACTGTAATCATTATAGATGAGGCACTGACAGAGTGACAGATGCATAAAGTTTTTACCTGTGCTTTGTGACGCTTTCACCAGTCCCTGTCTGAGAACCTCCCGTACCCAGGTCTTCACCTGTGTCCTGCTCTCTCCACCCACAACAGAAACAACCAGGTTTGGTCTAGGAAGACCCCATATTGACTGGGCTGTCAGTATGTTGTACACCACCGAAGGCTCAGTGCTCCATGACAGGCGCAGGAACTAAGATTAGACATTTGATGGATTAAAAGAAACAATTACATGTCAACAACACAAAGAGGCTTGGAAAGTAATGAATTGTGATCTAGTATCAAAGCTAAAATGATGCTTTGGTTGTTTCAACCTTTAAATTGTGATTAAAACTTTGAAAATGAAAATGACCCTTAACCCATTAGAGCCCAGACCAATTTTTACTGTCAGAAAAACTATGGGAGAGTCAGTGTTAAAGGTTTTACAGGAACTTTCCTCAATATGTTAAGGAGTGGCTTGTTCTTTACTCTGGTACTGACTTTGTTTGTTTAGTAGCAGGTTGAAGGTCAGGAAAACTCAAAGTACTGACTACCAGAGCTCCAGGTTTATCTGGATCTTTATTTAACCCACCTTTACATGAATTTTCCTTTAAAAACATTTTCACATTTTCCAAAACTCTAAGGCTGTAGAGATAAAGCATTATGGGACAAAATGAAAGCACCCACATGGCTGTGCCTCTTGCTGGCTCCTGCAAACTGCACCTCTCCAAAGGCATCAGTTGGTTGTTCAGAGGAGTGCTCCGCACTTTCCCAGTGCTTCAAAATTGCTGTGCTGAAATAATCTCCAACAGCCACAGAGGCATGGTCATCTCTCGCAGCCCCACACTGACAAAATTCACTACTACTGAGAGAGGTGGAGGGATACAAACATCACTATGAGAGTCAACTCAAATTACAAGCATGTCACTATCAAAAGGCAGAGGTCACAGTACCTGAAGGAATCTTCTACAAAGGTGCTGCACACTCTTTTTTTGATGGTTTTGGGGATCCAACTCTGAAAGGATTTTTAAAAAGTTGTTAAATAGTGATTGACTTATACGGATTTCTGAGCCTGGTTTAACAGTGAGCCTGTGTACGCACATATTCTGTAGTAGAATAATACAACCCACAAGTCAAACATTTTATTTTTTTCATTAAACTTTTAAATTGGCCTAGGTACTCATTGGTATTCATTTATAATCTGCTATTATGCAAGTGGAATGAAAGCTCGGTATGTGACCTCAGTACTGACATTTTTACAGTGTGTTGAGTGTTTGAAGCTCAGGTTTTTCGAAACACTGCAGTTCAAAACATTTACATCATGTTTGAGGTTCTGGTTGTATTTCAGCCAAGTGTTGACAGGTTGCTTACCTGCTGCTTCCAGGAATGTAAGCAAGTAATCCAAGGTGCCAGGATTTCCATTTGTATGAACCAGTGTCATTTGAGCTGAATCTTGTTATTATTAAATTATTGTTTTTAATACTACAGCTTCTATTTATAACAAGGGGCACAAGAGCCACTTGTATATAACAAAACAATACCTGGTTTCTCATTATTATTTTTGTTGATTATGAAGCTTAAGGAGAAAACCAGCAGAAATTGTCAGCTCTTACTCCCATCTTTTTGGGAGAAAAAAAAAAGCACGCAAGTTCATTTTCATTACACTTAGGGACTTAGAAATTAAACACCTTCTCCCTCTCCTTTATCTTTCCTGCTTGGCTTCTCATGTCTTGTCTAGTCTCTTCTATCTCAAACCCTCAAAGAGTCTCTCAGTCTCAGTGTTCTCTTAACCCTAAAGAAGAATTATGGATTTGATCAACTGGTCCTTTAATGCAATTGAGGCGAACCCAGGCTTCTCATCGAGAACCTGTGCTTTGTGACGCACCAAAGTCTTGAAAAGTTTGGTGGCATTTGAAATGAAGAACTCGATTTATACTGCAGAAGCTTGTCAGGGTCAACGAAAGGTTCGTAAGGATATCAAGATGCGAGTCTGGCTGTTTTTAGAAACTGAGGCAGAACTGGATTTAACCAAGACATCTGCAGACTGAGTTGCACTTCTCATCAAGAAGCCTGGGTTCAAGAGAGGCCGACTGTCCTGGAGGGACGTTCCCTGCCGGTTACACAATCGATGTCTGGCGGAACTGGCGCGTCGTGTGCCTGACGGGACTGTCAATCAAGGACATCGAACACATCTACCTATTCAGAAATATGATAACAGGGTTCTTGCTCATTGGAGCTGGCTCGGCCCTGGCTTATCGAAGATTAAAGAAAGCAGTTACGGCTGTTCAAATCCCCACAAGGCTGGCCGCTATAATCGAAGCGACGGGGAGGGCCTTGAATACTCAGACGGTGGTCTTAGAGAAGCTCACGGCTCTTCAACGGGAAATTGAGAGACCTGGTGACAAGTGACGGACATTAGACAACTGTAAAATTGGATGCAGTTGTTCATACTAATTCAAACATCCACCATCTTCATTTCATGCGGTTACCCCCACTGGTGCCAGCTGGAAGGCCCCAAGGCCGAGGTTAATGGAAATAACAAAATTCTCCTTGATAACAGGACTGTGTGTTTTTGGACTCTTTACCCTTATTCTTCAAGGCCACCTGTATCGACTGAAGGAATGCTGACTTTCACTTAACCGGGTGAAGGGATACCTTCTCTCAAGGGACGCACACGAATGCACACATATGCATGTACACTAACACAAACATACCGCCCCCCACCTCCAAACACCTCCGATGCATGTCTTTTATGTTGTGAGATGTGATGATTCATGCGCTATGTGCTGAATCATCACATCACATCAATCATAACGCTGTCGATGTTAACTCTCAGGAAGCTTATAATTCAACAAAAGTTAAATTCACTTCCAAACTTTGAATGGGGATGTGGTTTGTTTGTTTGTTAAGAAAAAAACAGCCTTAAATCTGGGTAGTTATAACAATAAATATAAACAATATTTTCTCACTATATAATGAATTCGAAATTGGTTTGTTGTGCATTACACTGAATTACTAAGCAACTAAAACAGTCTTAACTGAGGGAGAAAATGGTCTTTGCTGAAACACATCGTTCTTTACAGCTACTGATTGCTGTCTGTAACAATTTCTGCATTTTTCTCCCTTTATTTGTACAATTATTTCTCTAAAACATATGTCGATCAAAATTGTTGCTATACATGCTTCTGTGACAAGTGGCCATGTGGAGAATAGTGCAACCTGTGAGATTAGCAGGTGTGCGTGCAGAGATGAGTATGAGATTGTTTTGAAACCTTGTGCTTTAAAAGTTTCAGTGTTTCACAAACCTTTCCTTTGCCTATTACTAATGTGATCCCCACAGGCCTGCAAAATACCTCCGCAGCTAAATGAATGAGTGGAATGCAGCCATCTTTAATGTTATCAGTAAACAAGATTACATGCTAAATTGCATGCATGTAGTTATGATGCTATAGGTATACTAGTAGACATAAGTTGGGCTCTTATATTGTGCTTTCCATTTTTCTTTTGAGTAAACGTTATTGAATTGCTATAGAAACCTTTCAATGAACCGGTTTGTACTTAGTAAAGCTTCCTTTAAG